TGGCATGGTAGTTTGGACATTTGGGACATCTTTAACCTCTGCCTCATGGGGACCAGCCTCATGCTGATCTTTCTAAGAGAAATTGTTCAAGCAGTAGTCTTTTCAGTTGGTTTTCTTCAGTTTTTAAATTTTATTATCTGTAAGTCACAGAATTCAGACTCTTTTCAATTTTAATAGCTGGTATCTTTTTGTTTAATTCAGGGCTTCAACCCACTTCAAACTGGTTTAGTCATGGCTGATGAAGTGAAACTGGAACAGACTCAAATTTCTAAAATTTGGATGAAGTGGAACAATAACTGGAATGGGAAAAATAATGAGCTGAAGCCCTGGAATACGAGACTCAGAAAAGGCATAGTGACCCCTTCTAGGAGCCTGATGCAGGACATTACATTATTGCCAAGATCATGAGAGCAACAACACATTCCAAGTGACTCAGTTGGCTACTATATTTGAAAGGAATATTGTTGATTTCAACTCTGACAATCAAGAGATTTAGTTGTTATGCAACATGCATGCTGGTTTTGTTTTCTAAGAGGGATATTAAGTTTCTAGCAGAGTTTCAACCTGTAATTTCTCTGTCTGGTTACCATTCCTGTTCATCAACATTTTACAAATTCAAGTCCATTCTAGTTTCACTTCATCAGCCATGACTAAACCAGGAAGAACTGATTTGAAACCCTGGTTTTAATTGCATTGCCTAAATAAACACATGAAAAGTGAAGTTCATACCAAAAATGCTAATATTTTATTTAGCATTTTACATCAATATTTTTCAGTGAGAATTGTCTGTAGCAGCAGATCAAATATGGTTTCTGTAATATCTTTTTCTTTTTTGCTGTTGTTCGTTGCCATTGAGTCGGGTCTAACTCATGGTAATCTTATAGATCACACAATAAAATATTACCCAGTCCTGCATCATTTTCATGATTTTGGTATGTTTGAGCCCAGTGTTGTGACTGTTATGTCAATCTATCTCATTGAGAGTTTTCCTCATTTTTGCTGATCCCTACTTTCCTAAACATGACTTCTTTTCCTAGGGATTGGTCTTTTTAAATCATGTGTTCAAAGTTAGCAAAACAAAATTTCACCATCCTCACTAAGGAGCAGTCAAGCTTCATCTCTTCTAAGACTGATTTGTTCATTCTTTTAGCAGTCTATGGTATATTCAGTATTCTCTGTCAACACCACAACTCAAATGGATCAATTCTTCTGTCTTCTTTTTTCAGTGTTCTGCTTTCTCATGCATATGAGGTGACTAAAAAGAGCATGGCTTGGGTAAGGCACAACTTGGTCATTAAACTAACATCTTTGCTTTTTAGAATGTTAAAGAGGTCTGTTGCAGCAGATTTACCCAATGCATTATGTTATTTGATTTCTGGATGGCTGCTTCCATGGGTGTTGATTATTGATCCAAGTAGAATGAAATTTTTGACAACTTCGAGAACATCATTTATCATGATGTTTCTTATTGGTCCATCTTTTTTTTAAAAAAAAAAAAAAAAAAGCTTTTGAAAATACAGAAATTGCTCTTAGCTGATGAGCTGTACGAAAACAGGTTGTAGACTGGATTTGGCCTGTGGGCAGTAGTTTACCAACTTCTGTCATATAATTTTCTGACAATGCACTGGCTTCATAAAAATAATAATGAAATCTTAAATTTATCCATTCTTTGACAAAAATAATTCTTGGAAATATAACTTAATATTAGTAAAAGGATGCTTCAGGGGATCAATTAAGCCCAAGCTATAGCCTTTCCAATATTTATCACCAAGTTTTGCCCCAAAATAAAATTTGCAGCAACTGTGAAAAGTGAGTATCACTGTGCCCTCCGTGAGAAATAAGACAGAAACAGGGATCTTGAAGACACACTCACAAAAGAACTATACCTACCTCCATGCCTCCAAGCCGGTATGCAGACCCTTCTCGATAGGTGTTTAAGTACCCATCCACAAGGGTGGTCAGGTCAGACATCATTTCATCTAGGAGTACCAAGCGAAGGGGTAGCAGGTAGGTAGCTTCTAGGGCCAAAATTTTCAGCAAAGTAGGTGAAAGAGGTCGTGTGAACCACATTTCTGGATTTTTCTAGAGACACCAAACAAATCTCCTCTAGGTCATAAGCAACACGTCAAATTGTCTATCCAAGTGTGATTTAATTTAAAATGCTGTCATTTTCTTCAATGATTACCTTCTTTTTTCACACTATAACTAGCCTTCTAAGAATACACATGTACAGATATTCATTGTGTGTGTAAGAGAAAGAAAGACAGGCATAGGCATCAGGACTTCCCATTCAAAGTGGGAGGCAGTAGACATGATTATATGACCAATTGTAGTTACTATGGTCATGACCTAAGTTGGTATGCAAGCTATTACAACTAGTATCTCTTAGCAATTAAAAAAAAAAAAAAAAAATCTACTTTACTTTGGAAGAATAGCTGGGATAATTTGCACTCTGTCCCCTTAATCCAAGTTCACATGAAAATCTCTCCTTGTCCCAACTTCAAAATTTATTTCAGAGTACTTTTTAACTGATAGCCAACAAATCTGCACTATGATTTTTATGTATTTGAACCACAAACATTTGTTCCCATTTGGAACAACTAAATTTTGCCAATGTGCACTTTCTTACATGGCAGCTAGTCATTATAGTAGGTTGATAAAACATGTGAAAAAAAGTAGTATCATATGAGGACATCCATTGACACTCACCTGAGTCAGTTTTTGCTTCTCTTCTAGAAAGGAGACATATTTAGGGGCTACTTTAAGGTGTCTGACCAAAGTCTCCTGCAAAGTACTGATGCAGTTTGGAAGAAAGCCACCTGTTTCCATAGAAAATTGAAGGACATCTGCTACCTATGCATTAAAAAAGAAAAGCTAGTTTATAGAATATACACAGAAAGCTATCATGGCAGAAATAGTATAATTAAGTATAGAGAATATCTTTAAATACAATTTTCCCCAAATAATAGCAACATCAGGAAGCTATCCAGTCAACTTATTCTTAAAAATTAATAAATTTTTAAAAAATTAATAAAGAAAAAGATTAGTCAACTTTAATGTGTCCTTGTCTACTTTCTTTCCTACTTCTTTTATTTATTTCTGTGTGGTAGGTTGAGTAATAGTCCCTAAAAATATCTAGATCCTAATTCCTAAATCCTGTGAATGCTACATTATATGGCTGTGATAGTTGGACCTGTGTGTCAACTTGGCTGGACCACAATTCTATGTGGTTTAAGCAATTGTGATGTGGGTTGTTCCAATGATGGGATCAGATATATATGTTCTGAGCAGCCAATCCATTGAAAGGGAGTTTCCCTAGGGGTGTGGCCTGCTTCTGGTATATTTATGGACATCCTGGGAAAAGAGAAACTCTTCTGTGGATCGGCATTATGTTGTGCTGCCTACAACTATCCATGAGCGAACAATCCACCATTTAGCCTGAAGATCTTGGATTCGTCATTCATTGGAGTCATCAGCCAGTACACTGCCTGCCAACCTTGAGCTCCTCAGCCACTGCAGCTGCATGAGTCAGGAAAAGCCTCCAGCTTGATGTTTGATCCAAGAACTTTGGACTTGCCAGCTTCTATAAGTGTGTGAGCCATTTTCCTAAGATAAATTTCCCTTTCTCTCTATATATAAGTTTTACTGGTTTTATTTCTCTAGAGAACCCAGTCTAGCACAATGGCCAAAGGGACTTGCAGACATGATTAAGTTAAAGGTCTTGAGATGGGGCAACTATTCTGGATCATCTAGGTATATCCTAAATGTAATCACAATTGTCCTTATAAGAAGGTAGATGGAGATTTACTATAGTCAGAAGAGAAGGCATTATGATGATAAAGGCAGAGATTGGAGTGATGAGTTTTGAAGACGGAGAAAAGGGCCATGAGGCCAAAGAATACAAGTAATCATTAGAACCTGAAAAAAGCAAAGAAATGGATTCTCTTTTCAAAGTTTCCAGAAGAAACCAGGCCTGCCACTTAGACTTTAGCATGTTGTTGTTGTTGTTATGTGCCATCGAGTCAGACCTGACTCATAGTGACCTCTCCTTGGGTTTCCAAGGCGGTATCACTACGGAAGTAGATTGCCCAACCTTCCTTCCGAGGAGCGTCTGGTGGGTTTGAATCGCCAGCCTTCTGGTTAGCAGTCAAGTGCCTTAGGCACTACGCTACCAGAGCTCCTACACTTTAGCATAGTGAAAATGATTTCAGACTTCTGCTCTCTAGAACTGTAAGAGAATAAATATGTGTTGTTTTAATTCATTGAGTTTGTGGTAATTTATTACAGCAGCAAGAGGAAACTAATATACTGTGCTAAAGGAAAACAAATTGGTAAAACCTTAAACTCCTGCTTCTTGCACTATGGCTATCCAAAAAGAAAAATGTGGAACTATATGCCAATGTTTTCATTAGACAATATACATAGCATCCAATCAAGAAGCCTAGTGGCAATTTTCTTGCATTTTGGAGTAAGGATAGAAGGAACCTCTACATAGCAGAAGATTCTGAGAAAAGGCTCCAAATGTGCATATGTATTATGTGCACATACACAAACAGAAAATTTTACCCATATATAGCAATGTAAAATTGAACTTTCAGGAATTGCTGCCAAAATATAATAGCCATTTTATTAGTTTAATCATACTGCAAAGCCTCAAGGCTAATGTATTCAGGATTCCCTTTCACTAGCTTACACTTAGGAGCTCTGGTAGCATAGTGCCTAAGGCACTTGACTGCTAACCAGAAGGCTGGCGGTTCAAACCCACCAGACACTCCTTGGAATGAAGGTTGGGGCAATCTACTTCTGTAGTGATACTGCCTCGGAAACCCAAGGAGGGGTTGCTATGAGTCGGGGCCAACTTGACGGCATATAACAACAACAACAGCTAACACTTAGATGACCAGAAGAACTTCATGAAAGCCAGTGGTTTTATTGCTTTCACAGCCAAACCAGACACTCAGATCAGCTCCAAGAGCAAGTATATACCAAGAATTTCTCATTTCTCTCAGGTTCTTTAAATGAGAGACAACTGATACAAAATCACAATTCTTTAGGCTATTTTGAACCAGAATCGGGTTTTTTGGCATATTCAGGACATCTAGCACCCAAGCTAGATGCCAACTAGATTTAGTTTATATATGTATGTGGCTAACGGCACAGATGAGATTGTTCATTTTATATTAAGTCTTCCTGTCAGACTTGTGAATGACCCCAAAATTGCTCTAGTTTTGGCTACGGAGTATAGACCTTGTTCTTATTTGACAAACTCTGGAAAAAAATGAGGAAAGGGTAATCACAAATAATTTTAAGTAACTTTTCGACAGTGCTTTTACAGTTCACCAAATGTTCTCACATATAACCTATACAAACACCTTACATAAGAAGTGGGCAGGAGAAGGGACACAAGAAGACTTTCAATCATTCATCAAAGGAGGCCATTTTCTGTGGGAGCTATGTACACTGATATGAATTGAGAGCTTTTCTGCATGTACCTGTGTGTCAAAGACATTATTCAGCAAAATTCCATACTGGTGAAAGAGACAGTCAGAAAGCCAACGACAGTCATGGATAACCTAAGGAATTCAAAGATGGAGAAAGAGTAATTAGGATCTGATTGCTAATCTCACTAGCAGAGGAATCAGCTTACATACTCACCTTCAAAATTCTCTTGTCTTCTAATACCATCTGAAGTCCATTTTTGAAAGCACGACTTCCCAGAAGGAAAATATCAAATAAGTAAACACGGCTATTTGTGGCCACCTACAATAGACCATGGAGACAAATATTAACAAAAAAATCCATTGTCCTCAAGTCAATTCCAATTCATAGTGACACCCATAGGGTTCCCAAGGCTATAAATCTTTACAGAAGCAGACTACCTCATTTGTCTCCCATCAGTGGCTGGTGGGTTCAAACCACTGACCTTTTGGTTAGTAGCTGAATGCTTTCACCACTACACCATCAGACCTCTTTGCAGACACATACACTGTAAGATAATTAAAAACTGAGGAAATGGGTCTGAGGAGTGCAGTAAGCACCCCTGGGAGTCCTGCAAATCTGTTTTTTGCTTTAATATTGTTTGGATGGAACAGACCTGGGAACTTCATAACTCCACTCTCCAGTCACCATCCGATCTCCTCTCCAGGAACAACCTTTTTTAGCTATTCCCTGTTTCCAGGATTAGTTCACACCATTTTTTTGTGTGTGGTTGGCTCTAATCAACCATGAGCTCCCAGATCAGAATTATTCTACTGAATAATAGTAACTGCCTGGTCAACCTGTATCTGTGGGTTTCCTACACCTACCTCTCTCTGAGCTTCTTATTTCAACTGAAATTATGGGTGCCCACCAGAGCAAGCCTCTGCAGACTAGCTTGTCTGCTGGTCCCCAGGCAAGGCTGGATGAGTATCTCCTCAAGAGGGTCACCCTCAAATATGATGACTAGGAGCTTCCTTTGATGGGGCCCTCTGCATTCCCGAAATCAGATATCTGCCTGAGCATCTCTCACCAGCCAAGTAGAACATTTTTAACCACGCTGGAACCTTCTCCCAAGCCACTGATGCCATGAAAACAATAAAGCTTCTTTTTGCAACAACAACAACAAAAAGTTGGAAGACGTCAAGCTGAAATGGCATAAAATACTACACAAAAACATTACTTTACATCCCACTTTAGTGAGTAGCAACTGGGTTCTAAAAGCTTGCAAGTGGCCATCTAAGATGTAATAATTGGTCCCTCCTTCACCAGAGCAAAGAATGAAGAAAACCAAAGACACATGGAAAAAATTAGTCTAAGGGACTAATTGACTATGCAGACCTCAGCCTACATGACCCCGAGACCAGAAGAATTAGATGCTGCATGGCTATCACTGTCAACCACTTGGAAAGGGATCAAAACAGGAGAGCAGGAATACATAGGAAAGAAGGACACAAGGAAAAGGTAACCAAAGGGAGGAAGTGGGAAAGTAGCTATTATATTATGGGGATTGTAATCAATGTCTTGAAACAAAATGTGTATGAAGTATTGTGTGGAAAATGAATTTGCTCTGTAAAATTTCAAATCACAATTTAAAATAAAAAGGGACATGTGACAAAATATTTAACTTTCTCACTTAAAAAAAAAAAAACATGCAAACATTTTTAGGGAAAATCAAACCAAAACCAAACTGCCACTGAGTCAATTCCCACTCATAAGCAACACTATAGGACAGAGTAGTACTGCCCCATACGGTTTCAAGGGCTGTAAATCTTTACAGAAGCAGACTGCCTCAGCTTTCTCTCACACAGTGGCTGACGGGTTCGAACAGCCAACATTTTGGTGAGCAGCTGAATGCTTTAGCCACTGTACCACCAAAGCCCCTTTTCTTAGGAAAAACAGGTTTTAACCGATCTTAAGCTAAAAAGACATGATTACTATGATTTCAAGAAAAAAGCAGCAGACAGGCTGGTTATTTCTCCTTTTCCATTTTATAATTCCAACTTTAATGTCTAATTAATCTCCCCTATAGCATTCTTTTAAAAAAAAAAAAATTTTTACTCTGATTTGAGTGAAAGTTTACAGAGCAAATTCATTTTCCATATAGCAGGTCATACACATTTTGTTTCATGACATTGACTGCAATCCCCACAATGTAACAGCTCTTTTCCCACTTCCTTCTTACAGTTACCTCTTCCCTGTGTTCATCTTTCCTATGGATTCCCGCCCTGAGTTATCTCCCTGTGCAAATACTACCCTTCTGTTCTTTCATGATTGAACACTGTATGGAGTGTATCTACCTTGTATAAATGTTCACCTTATATACCTATCAATTATTTGGTTGGAAGCCATTGGAGTGAGGGGCCTGAAAGGTAACTAGGGGCCAGTAGTCTCAGGGGTTTCACCAGGCACTATCAGACCAGTAAACCTGGTCTTTTTTTTTATGATTTTGAGTTTTGTTCCACATTTTTTTCCCACTCTATCTGGGATCTCTTACTCTGATCCCTTTCCAAGTGGCTGACAGTGGTAGCTGGGCGCCATCTACTTCTTCTTGTCTTGTGGTCACATAGGCTTAAGTTCACATAGTCCAACAGTCCCTTGGACTAATTGTTTCCACATGTCTTTGGTTTTCTTCATTCTTCTTTTCTCTGAATGGAGAGAGACCAATTGTTGCATCTAGATGGCCACTTTGAAGCTTTTAGGACCCCAGTCACGACTCACCAAAGCAGGATGTTGCAAAGGAGAAGGGAGGCTGAATCTTCTGACTTCTTCTAACTCCAAAAGAGGAAGATAGAATCACCATCAGTAGCCCAAGGCCTAGCCCTGCAAGTCAGACATACCACCCCCACCCCCTCTCTGCTGGGTTTGATAATTCGCTGTGGTGGCTACACAGAACTCACAGATTATGGGATTTATTAGGGAAGCAACAGGCTACAATTCAAGGTCAGAAATGTACTCAGTCTCTTGCAGCTGACCATCTCACTCAGCAGCCGACAGTCAGTCTCTCAGCAGAGCATGTCTCTTGCATCTCTCTCTTAGCAGCATGCATCTCTCACATCTCTCTTAGTACACATCTCTCATGTCTCTCTCTCATCAGCATGTCTCTCACATCTCTCTCAGCAATATGTGTCTCTCGCTCAGTGTGTCTCTTGTATCTCTCTCAGCAGTGCGTCTCTCTCATGTCTCTCAGCAGCACATTTCTTGCATCTCTCTCAGCAGTGCGTCTCTCACATCTCTCAGCAATGTGTCTCCCTCGCTTCTCTCTCTCAGCAGTGTGTGTCTCTCGTGTCTCTCAGCAGTGCATGTCTCTCACGTCTCTCAGCAGCATGTGTCTCTCACATCTCTCTCTCAGCAAGTGGTTGTCTCTTAGGCACATGTTTCTCTCAGAAACATGTCTTTCTCAGCCAGCATTCAGAGAGACTCCTTCTGACCATAGGCAGACTCCTTTTGAGCCTGACAGAGTGGCCAAACTAACCAATCCCAACATCAGAATTCTATACACCTGAGAGAGAGAGAGAGAACTTTCCAGAAGATTGCTTCATGCCACTCTCAACAGAAATACCCCAGGTGGATAACTTTAACAATCAGGAGCTACTCAGTTGTTCACAGCAAATTCCACCAGAGTTTACAAAGACTTATGGCTAGAAAAGCCACACTATGTGCCAAAGGGGCAGGGAGGCCGCATCTTCTGACCTCCTCTAACCCAAGAGGAAGACAGAATCACCATCAGTAGCCCAAGGCCTACCCCTGTGAGGCCAGACATGCCACCTTCTTCCAGCCCTTTCCCCAACCCTGACACCAACCGTCCCTCCCACAACACCCACCACTTCTCTGCTAGGTTTGACAATTCACTGCAGTGGCCACACAGAACTCATAGATCACGGAATTTATTAGGGAAGCACCAGGCTACAATTCAAATTCAGGAAGTACACTTGGTCTCTCTCGGCCCACCATCTCTCAGCCAACAGTCTCTCTCAGTCTCTCTCCCAGCAGTGCGTGTCTCTCAGTGTCTCTTTCTCAGCAGCATGTGTCTCTCAGGAGAGTGTTTCTCTCAGCAATACGTCTTCTTTCTCAGCCAGCAGTCACAGAGACTTCTTCTGCCTCTGGGAGGGCTCCTTTTGAGCCTGGCAGAGTGGCCAACTAACGAATCATAACATCAGAATTCTAAACACCTGAGAGAGGGCAAACTTCCTAGAATATTGCTTTGTGCCACTCTCAACAGAAATACCCCAGGTGGATAACTTTAACAATCAGGAGCTCCTTAACTGCTCACAGCAAATTCCACCACAGAATTTACAAAGACTTATGGCTAGAAAAGCCATACCAGGTAATTTACTACACCACACTATATAATTTACTACAGCACAGATGTAGAGCAATGTTGTTATGTATGTTATGCTGAACTGAATGTTCAAGTATCAACTGAACTTGATGTGCCCTGTGACCACGATCCTGGGCCCACAGGTCCAACAACTCACTCCCTCAAGGTGGTGGCTGTGGCCAAGAAGTTATCATAACTTTGCCCCCGCTACTTCTATTTACATGAAGATTCTTACAGTACATACAAATACATATGTACAAAGATCATCTGCCAACCATATACATGGTCCTGGATATATTCCCTTTTGCCTAGACATACCTGATCATTCAGCCTGTTTACCTATGTATCTACTCATAGATTAATGTTTATTATTACAGACAATGGAATATTGTATATGTGAAAGTATTTGTCTTTGTTGTCTGTACCTCTTGTGCACCTCTCTGTGTCTTCCTTGGGGAAGACACTAAAGTGTTGTGCTGGTCACTTGATTTTGGTATACTGACTTACCCTTCACCTGAATCAATACTTGTCTCTTACCTATCTAGCAATTTTCCCTCCCATCCCCTCTCCTCCCTGGTAAACAACAAAGTTTCCTTCCATATATAAATCTTTCCTTGACTTTTATAAAAATGGACCAATACAATATTTGTACTTCTGTGACTGACTTATTTCACTCAGAATAATATCTTCCATATTCATCCACATTATGCAGTGTTTCATGAATTCCACATTATTCTGTAGTGTTGCATAGTATTCCATTGTGTGTATGTACCATAGTTGGGTTATCCATTCCTCCATTGATGGGCACTTAGGTTGCTTCCATCTCTATGCCATTGTGAATAGCACTGCGATGAACATGGATATACATATATACGTTCATGTCCTGACTCTCAATTCTTTAGGATGCATATCTAGTAATAGGATTGCTGGATCAAATGGTATTTCTATTTCCAACTTTTTAAGGAATCACCATATCCATTTCCACAGTGGTTGCACCATTTTACAGTTTCACCAGCAGTGTATGAGACTCCTAATCTCTCCACATCCTTGCTGCGTTTGTTATTTTCTGTCTAATTGAACTTTGCCATTAGTCCTGGAGTGAGATCACCTAAGCATTCTTAAAGGAGCTCTGTTGGCACTGTGAATAAAGCATTAGGCTGCTAACCCAAAGGTTGGAGGTTCAAACCCACCAGCCACTCCACAGAAGAAAGATAAGGCAATCTGTTTCCATAAAGATTTACAGCCTTGGAAACCCAGGTTGCTATGAGTTACAACTGACTCAATGGCAGTGGGTAGAGCATACTTACAGAGCCCTGATGGTGTAGTGGTTAATACATTTGGCTGCTAACTAAAAAGTCAGTGGTTTTAAACCTACCAGCTGCAGCCACGAAAGAAAGATGAGGCAGTCTCTTTTGCAAAGATTTACGGCCTTGCAAACCCTATGGGGGAGTTCTACTCTGTCCTACAAGGTAACTATGAGTCAGAATTGGTTTGATTTTGTTACAGTATGCTTAATATTCCAGGAATCACAGGCTTAAGGAAAATGAACAGCATCTCATCATTACTAACACAAAAGACCATTTCTCTGAGTTCTATAATATGCATTATATTAGGTGTTATATAAAACTACTTATAACACAAGACCCCTGACCTCTAAGAGTTCAAAACAAGCAGCAAATACATTAGCACAAATGGTAGGATGTCAAATATTCAACATAGTTTTACTGATCAATTGTATACAAGAATAATATCATAGACAGTCTGATGTCATCTTTGTTGTTTCCAGAGCTGAACTGTTGATACAACTATAATTATCAGGCCTAACTGGCACCCATTCTCAGGACTTTCCCATTTTTTACTAGAACTTGATACTTAAAATAGCCAGTCTCTGCTCTTTTTCCTTACTTCTTTAATTATAAAAATTGAATAGACACATCATAAAAGTCTGGAAAATAATTCTCTGCTAGATTGTAAATTCCATGTGGTAAGAGACTATCAAATTCACCACTATACACACAACTAAGACATGCTATACAACTTCTACATTTTCATATGCAAAAAATTTATGTTGTTGTTGTTATGTGCCGTCGAGTTGGACCCGACTCATAGCGACCCCTCCTTGGGTTTCCGAGGCAGTATCACTACGGAAGTAGATTGCCCCATCTTCCTTCCGAGGAGTGGCTGGTGGGTTTGAACCACCAGCCTTCTGGTTAGCAGTCAAGTGCCTTAGCCACTATGCTACCAGAGTTCCCCCCAAAATTTATATGGTTCTAATAATGTCCAAGGAGCTCAGGTAGCATAGTGCCTAAGGTGCTTGACTGCTAACCAGAAGGCTGGTGGTTCAAACCCACCAGCCACTCCTCAGAAGGAAGATGGGGCAATCTACTTCCATAGTGATACTGCCTCAGAAACCCAAGGAGGGGTCGCTATGAATCGAGTCCAACTTGACAGTACATAACAACAACAACAATAATGTCCATGCAATTCTGTATCTTGCTTTTTCTACTCATAAACTTTTAAATATTTTTTCTACATTGCTCTGGTCATCAATATTTGGAAGCTGCTTGAGATTTATCAAATGTAACATCTGCCATTACTAACTATTTAAGAGTTTCCACTTTCTGGTTTTCACCATTATATAATACCATGAGGAACAGATTGTCATACACTTTTTTTTGCATATTATAAATCATTTAGATTTTGAAAAGTAGCCCTGAGAAGTGGATCAAAGGAGTTAAAAAAAAATTCATAACTCTTAAAAAATATTTACTGCCTTCATCTTAGAAATTTTATTGTATGTAAAAATACATGACCACAGATGGGATTAATTAATTAAACAATTTAAAGTTAAAGAAAAGCTCATTTCTTCTAAATGTAGCTAGTGCCAGAATTCCACTTTAGGAAAGAAACTAAATGTATATATGTATTTTTAATTCATTTGTTTTTTTTCATGTACTGACTCACTCACTCTCTCCTTGACTTGAAAGTAAAACCAAAAAAGCCAAACTCACTGCCGCCAAGTCGATTCAACTCATAGCGACCCCTTGTTGGGTTTCCAAGACCGTATCTCTATGGAAGTAGATTGCCTAATCTTCCTTCCGAAGAGTGGTTGGTGGCACCACCCTTCTGGTTAGCAGTCAAATGCCTTAGGCAAATAAATTCTTGTATAACTATTGCTTACTACAGCATTATTCACAATAGCCAAAAGGTAGTTACAACTTAAGTGTCCATTAGCAGACTAATGGGCAAACAATATGTCACATATACATACAATGGACTATTATTCAGGCATAAAATGAAATGAAATTCTGATACAGCTACAACATGAATGAATCTTCTTTTTTCTCCCTAAAGTTTATTAAAGAGGAAAGAGAGGGGAGGCACTCATGATGGAGAGGGGCTTTCGCCTATTCTTGCCTGTGGTCTCCCCAAAATGAATGAATCTTGAAAAATTACACTGAGTGAAATAAGTCAGACAGACCCAAAAGGAAAATTACATGATCCCACTTATATGAAATATCTGCAAATGAATAGAGACAAAAGTTTATTAGTGGTTATCAGGGACTGTGGGAAGGAAGTAATGGGAGTTATTACTTAAGGGGTATTGAGTTAATACTTGGGGTGACTAAAAACCTTGGGAAATACATAGTGGTGTTGATTGTACAACACAAGATGTAATTAATGTCACTTCAAATGGTTAAAATGACAAATTTTTTGACATATACATATTTTTCATAATACAATTTAAAAAATAAATCTACCAGTGAATCTACAATTATTTCAAAATAAAATGTTTTTTAAAAACTCTTTTACCTGAAGCCAACACAGATTCCCATGACGACACACATTAGCACCTTCTGCTGTCACACTCAGGACACTCTGCTTCTTGATATGAAGCATCTAATGAGAAAAGAGAAAAAGAAAAAATCTCAAGAGAATAAATGTCAAAATTAGGGCATCATAAATGGTACAAGTAAAATGTACAGCCATAAACAAAGTGGATCATATTTTTTAACTTAAAAACTTGACAATGGCAAAACATGACAGTCTGTTTAACTACACACAAAAATCACCACTGAACATTTCTGATGCCCTTTTTCAGTTTTAGCAAAGGTATTCCACAACTGGAAAATAAATCATTCATATCCCAAATGCTAATGAGAGTTAAAAACTCAGATGCCTTTTGTTACCATTGATGCTACAGAGAAAGAATTTTAACCTGTGGCCAGATTCTTCATGCACAGAGTGGCTGGCTCCCCAACACAGGGCAATTCACGGTACCCGAACGAAGCACATCTAGTGTCTAAGTCTCATAGTAACTACTATTCAGAATGGCAGAAATAAGTAGTCAATAGGTCCCTTAAAGCCTTGGATTCATTAAATTACTTAAAACTTCAATCATGGTATCCCAGGAACAGTCCTTTGATTATCTATGTTGTTGTTGTTAAGTGCTATTGAGTCCGCTCCAACTCATAGCAACCTTATTTACAATGGAATGAAACACTGCCTGGTCATGCACCATCCTCACAATCCTCACTATACTTGACCCCATCATTGCAGCCATTGCGTCCATCTATCTTGTAGAGGGTCTTCCCCTTCCTTGCTGACCCTCTACTTTGCCTAGCATGATATCCTTGTCCAGAGAATGGCTCCTTCTGACAACATGACCAAAGTAGGTGAGACAAAGTCTGGCCACTCTCGCTTCCAAAGTCTGTTCCTGCTGCACTTCTTCCAGGACAGATTTGTTCATTCTTCTGGCAGTCCATGGTATTTTCAGTATCCTTCACCAACACCACAATTAAAAAGCAACAACTGTTCTTCAGACTTCATTGTTCCCTGTCCAGCTTTCACATGCATACAAGGTGACTGAAAATGCTATAGCTTGGGTATGGCACACCTATAGTCTTCAAGGTGACATCTTTGCTTCTTAATACTTTACAGTATTTTTTTGCAGCAGATATACCCAGTGCAATACAACATCTGACTTCCATGGGCATTAATTGTGGATCCAAACAAAATTAAATCCCTGACAACTTCAATCCTTTCTCCATTTATCATGATGTTGTTGTTTATTGGTCTACTTGTGTGGTTTTTTGTTTCCTTTATGTTGAGGTATAATCCATACTAAAGGCTGTGGTCTTTGATTTTCATCACTGCTTCAAGTCTTCTTCACTTTCATCAAGTAAGGTTGTGTCATCCACATATCACAGGTTGTTAATGAGTCTTCCTCTAATCCTGATGCCATGTTCTTCTTCATGGAGTCCGGTTTCTTGGATTATTTGCTCAGCATACAGACTGAATAAGTATGGTGAAAGGATACAACCCTGACATACACCCTTCCTGATTTTAAACCATGCAGTATACCCTTGTCCTGTTCGAATGACAGCCATCTTGGTCTATGTACACATTCCTCATGAAAAAAATTAAGTATTCTGGAATTCCAATTCTTCACAATGTTATCCATAATTTGTTATGATATTGTGTTAGGCTGGATTCTCTAGAGAAGCAAAACCAGTAAAGCTTATATATAGAGAAAAAAAAATTATCTTAGGAAAATGGCTCACACATTTATGCTGTTCTTGTTGTTATGTGCTGTCAAGTCGGACCCGACTCAGAGCGACCTCTCCTTGGGTTTCCGAGGCAGTATCACT